ATTATGAAATAATGATGTCCATAATCACAATAAATATAACCCCTAAAAACTCTATTAAGAATGATGAAATACCATTTCAAAATAATGACTTAAGTTTTAATACTTGTTGAATGATTTCACAAATTGTCTGTGCAAGTATATATTGCACAAAATGTATTCATATGATTATTTCAATGTTTTTATTTATTATTTTTATTGAACACTGGCATTCTTCCTTCACCATGTGTAAACTTTAAACTTACCTCTTCTAAAATTACTTGAAAAGGTGCACATCTGGTACAAGTTATCGTAATCGTGAATTATGCAGTCAAAAAAGAAAACATTACAGTAACACAAAAGCTTGCATGCTTCAAAATAAAACAGAATTTCTACTTGGCAGACATCTTTGAGTAATTCCTAATAGAACTTAGAAAGCCCAGATGTGGTCACTGAACTCTCCCAGAGAGTCCATGTGCAGTATTTGTCCAAAGGATTTAGGATTATTTTTTTGTCTACTGCTCAGGAATGACTGGCTAGATTTGAACATATAGTTTTTTCTACTTTGATGTGGGTTTTATACCATTAGTGAAAGGTTTAACTAAACTATGTTTACAGTTGCATAAAGTTTATTAAGCATTGAAGCACTTTACATATACAATGAGGCACCAGATCATAGAAGGCATTGGTGTAGATACATCTATTGCTGAAGCATCTAGCCTATGTGATGGTAAGAATGGCACAGGCTACAACTAGCATATGGCAACAAAACCACATAACTTTACCTAATATTTTGTGTAATATTTAGATAACAGAAAAAGAGACAAATGCATTTACTGAAGAAAATGCATGTGGATGCTGATTGCTGAAAGCAGACCAACCAGTGTGTGTGTGTGTGTGTGTGTGTCACTGTGCTACCCTGTATTGCTTTGATTGTGTACATTTTGGTGTTTATTTTGTGTATGTGTGTGTGTTACTCTGTTGCTGTCTGTATGTGTGACTGTGTGGTACCAAGTTAATTTTAATGTTTCTGTTTTAAGCAATTAGCTCAACAGGACTCATGCTACCAAGATGGTCAATCTGTTTATTATTATTAACATTACAAGTTCATAGTATTACAACATAGTAGTACTGTCAGAAGTACCTGAAATGAGGGTAGAAGTACTGAATGGGCTAGTACTGACAGGGATACTGCAGTAGTAGCAGGTGAGGACATGTATCATGGACACAAGACACTCAGGTAACACAAATACTGACTGACTGCATGTCAGGTAGAGGGGGGGAGAGAGAGAGAGAGAGAAGGGGAGAAAAGGGCGACCAAAAGGAGCAGGTCACTCAGCAGTTCGAGCAACAGTCCAGCACATTTCAGTGAAACATGGACTTCACAAAATGGACAAAAGAATAAAAACTAAGTCCTATTAAAAAAAAATAAAATCACTCAAATCAATCAAATAAAATCATCTCACTGTGAGTGGCAGGAAGCTTCAACAAACAGATTAATCACTTCTCTGTGAAGATATTTCATAAAATGAAGGAACTGTGGCTTACAAATAGCCCCCTCTTTTGCTTGTCAGTCAGCAAAGATGCTTGCTTGCTGACTCAGCATCCACACAATTAGACAATAATATGAGCACATTTAATTTGAAGCTTGTGAAGCATTTGCTTTTGTCAGGCTGACAAAACCTAGTAATCACCTCCTGGGGGGGCTTTTGTGTTCTCGCTTGGTGTACTCATTAGCTTGAATTAGTTTGCTCAGTGGTATATTTCTGCATATTAATTTAAAACTGTCTACTAGGGGGACCCCTCTTTATAGGCCAGCCTCAGTGCCAATATTCTGAGACATGCTGCCTAGTAACAGAAATGTCTTCTGGGTTAGTGGGACACTGCTTCCCTTTCACTATGACACTGCACTTAGAGGTTCAGTGACAGTGCTCTAGATCGATAAGCTAGCTCTATGTCAAAATGTCAGTGTGTGGCCAGTTTGCCCTCATTTTGGAACATAATCTGTTAGAGCAGCCAACTGTGGCGGCCTTCTCAGTGGGACAGGGCGTAGAGCTCCTCGGCGCATCGCTCCAGTCGGTCCCGGTACTCCAGGTTGGAGTAGTTGCCCTCAGGGACCCCCTGGATGCCGTAGAGAAGACCCCAGCAGCAGCAGGCAATCACCGCTGTGCTGTCACTGTCACCTGGGCAGGAAGAAAGAACAGTAAGAGCATGAATCCTGTGACACAGCAGTAACTGTTTCCATTTCTAAGAAAGATCTTTTTAGACCATCTTCAGAGAAGCGATGTCAATCTTTTTATATTGACAGATAATTAAAAAAAAAAAAAAACAGCTGTACACCAGCTGTTCAGACCAAAACAGCAAACAAGCACAGTTAGCAACAGGTGCTGGTGAACATAGTGAAGAATTAGCAACTAAAGAGCTATATTTCCTCAGGAAGTGGTGGAGACTTCCAAATGCCGCTCCATGTAAATGAGCAACTGTTGGCTAACAAAATCCCTATCAATATCAATTTAAGGCTGAGGTGACTGAGGAAAAAGAAATTAACATTTACAGAGGATAACTTGAATTCATGAGCAGTAAAATTGACCTTGCTCGGTTTCTTCCAGTCACATTTTGCTGCTACCGCCACATATGGTTTGTGTCAAGTCACCAAAACATCTATTATTGCAAGTTTAAATTCAACAAAACCATGCTGTGCCCAAACTGTTCTACCATTAGTTTAACATGTAACTCCAGATTCTACTGACCAAAGAGAAACTGTCTTTTGTGATGCACACATACTTGGTACATCAGCACAGAGCTGGGTCATACAGGAAATTTTAAAAAATCTGAGGACGTTTTCTTATCTGAATCTCTGACCTCCATGGAAGGCCGCTCGGTTCATCAGCTCCTCCCAATCCGCCCCCGCCCCAAGCAGAGCATCGAGGGCTATCATCGGAGCATCGTGGCCACTGCGTCCCGCCCAGCCCGACAAGCTGAAGCTCTTGTAGACTTCATCTCTCTCAGCTGGGCCGTAGGAGGAGGGCCAAATCGCAGGACCCACTCCGTTGGAGATGCCTCTTAAATCCAAGTACCTGAGCACAGAGATAAGTGATTCTCCTGAAACCCACACTATCCTCCAGTGAAATGTAAAAGAAGCAGTACATCATTTCATCCTCACATCATATCATATACTGTACAAGGTTAGTGTAGACATGAGGAAAAAGACGATGTGAATCGATACTGCTAAGCTCCGACAGCTCCGACAGCTGCTTGTGCCAACAATAGATTCAATGACAGTAGAAATGACAAACAGTTCTGAAACTAGGGGTGTGACAATGCATCCTGATTCAAAACTGTGACAATACGCACTGTGAAACTGAAAAATGGGTCACAATATCAAGTCAAGACTCCTATGTATTCATGTTAACCAAAGGGGGGCAACAGGCCAGATCCGTCTTCTTGACCGACCTGCTGGTGACCCTGACGTCCACTAGCGTTAGCTGCACTTTAATCTAATTACATCAATCTACAGACTAAGGAAATGTTTGAATAAGAAACTACATGTTTGAAAACAGCTTTTTAAAATGTACATACCTAAGAAGAAATAACTGTGATATACTAGTTTTCATTCTCACTGTGTTACCATGAGTGTATCGAACCCAGTCATAAGTCAGCATCAATCTATAAAAATAGGTATTTCTTTTTTAAATAAAAGACTAAGCAGTTTACTAAGACATCTGGGTGCTGTCATTTTTATCAAATGTCAACTGAACATAAGCAAATAGTGCATTTGTTGGGGAACAACACACATTTGGAGAGATACTGAGAATTTCCAGCAGCAGCATGGTGTCTGTGGGAGTGGCTTATAATAAACTACAGTGCACCAGGTTTACTATAATGAGGGAACAGATCTATGTCTACACCCTCAGCTAATACACTTATCAGGATCAACGAGACCGTTATGTTTTTGGACTTTTCATGGGATTTGTTAGAATAAAAAAATCTATAGAATTTAAAGACTAGAAAAGTAGTAAAGTGAGTAATCAGTTTGTACTTTTTAACATTAGGTGCAACAGTTTAGAATAAAAATGAGGTCATAATGCTGCACTGAACCTGAACAGTGACATTTTAGTACAAATTTCATTAGGCCATCTATTAAGCTTCTAGACTGAATACGTTCACAGAAGTAGCAGATGTTAAAAACCTGGATTTGAATACAACATGACAGCCTCCTACCACTGCCACTTGTCACAGAAGTAATTCCAGTCTCTCTCCGTCTCCTCCACAGCGAAGCCTCGACCCTGAACAAAGTTCTTTGCTATTGGACAGGCCTCGTTGATCAAGCCCAGACCCCAAGTCGTGATTGGCCTGCGCTGGGCGGCGTACGCAGTGAAAAGGGCAGACGCTACGGCTCCCAGGAAACCAGTGGGGTGAGGATGGGTCATCCTGCCGGTCTCCACGGCAACCGCCACCAGGGACAACAGTTGGTCAGGCTTTGGATACCTGGTGAAGACAAAGTGTTAAAGTCCTTATCGGTTTTTATTGTGGAGCATATTAACCAAAATTCTCTCCATAAACTAATGAGGTCTGTCGCACAGCTCAGAAATGTTTTCTGTGTCAGTGCACAGCTTGGATACAAATTATATTCACAGTAATGACTTCTTTTCATGCTTTAATTGCCTCCACATAATGTTCTTACTGTTCTGGATAGTGTTTTAACCTTGGAGCTCTGTTATTTATGTGTTATTTTCTGCTTACTGATGCAACCGTACTGTTTAGTTTATCATTATTTACTTTGGATAAGAGCCGCGTGGCTCAAATGTAAATGTTAAATATGTCTTCTGCTTCATAATAATGGTACTTCTGTTACTTTTTCTCCATTTTTGAGAGCCTGAATGTTTCTTTTTCATTCAACAATAAAAAAAACTGATCATTCCCAACCAATCAAATCCTGATGAATTTCTATCTACAGACAACAGTGATGAGTTCAGAGCTGAAACAGTTGCTGGATTAACAGGGTTTGTACCAGCTACCCCCAGAATCTGATTAGCCACCCCTGCCAGAATCAAAATGTGATGCCTGTCAGTGTTAAAGAACAAATAATGACAAATTGTTGCCTTAAATACAACTAACATTTTTCTGGTACTTTATAAATGATAGTGGTCAAATTAGTTTAGTTTTCTAACGTGCATACAGCATGATATTTGCACCAAATAACTATTTGATTCATAGTAATGTATGGTTTGTTATTTGATAGAACTAGGGGTTTAATTTACTTTTTACATGTATTTTAAATGTGCCACCCCTCTCTGAGTCTGTGCCTCAGCCTGGCCACCCCATCCAAAATTTCCTATATCTGCCCCTCCCTAAGTTAATCCTCACTCAACTAAGTTTAGTTACTGCACTCAAAAAAACAATCCAAAAAGAGGCTTTAGTATGACTCAGTCAAAGGATGAAGATGCCAAAGCTATGAAGGGCTCAGGCTAAAGACAGAAGTTATTTTGTATTTATTCTCAGGACAAGTGTAGTACCTCAGGCCAATGCACATGGATCTCATGGCTGCTCCACAGCCCGTCCCTTCAGGGTTATAGGGGACTCTATAGCCCCCTTCCTCTCCTGGCTTCAACTGGGACACTCCTAAAAGGGACAATGGCGTAAGTAGCCATTGCTACCTGCTAATGTGATATAGTTTGGAAATGACATCTTTCTCTCACCCAGAATGCTTGAAGGCCCTGGCTTTCTCCCATCCATGTCTTTCATCCCCTCCACATATCGAGCAGCCACTTCATGCAGGAGCTCCTCCCCTTTCTTCCCTGCCAGGGAGACAGGGCACAGTTAACATGTTCAAACTGCACACCCTGTCCATATTAACACTTTTAAAGCTGGTCGTTTGCCTTATCATAATAAAGGTCAAGCTCAATTTCTACCATGTTCCTTCCACTTGTACGGAACTGCAATAAAGTGACAAATCAAGGCAAGACTGGAAATTAGATTTAACCTTTAGTTGGGGCTTTTGGGGGAGGAGGGTGTGGTGTGTGTCCTCATCAGAGGGAACAACACTGACTATTAGATCAATCCAATCAACTCCTCAGCTGAAACAGAACGAGCAGAGGAGAGGCAGAAGCTGCAGAGAGCAAATGGGTGCGCTGCAACTTTGACCTCACCAGTGGTCAGTGCTTCAGCCGTCGCCAGATGCAGGACGGTGTCATCGCTCACTGGCCAGTCAGGAAGCTCAGCCTTAATGTTCTTCAGACCACCGAGTTCTTTCAGCTCCTGCCAGGACAGAAAAGACGAGAAAATACATATTTAGCAGCAGCCCAGTAATGATTCAGTAAAAAAAAAAAAAAAATACATGATATACATAAATGACCAATTCCACTGTGTTAATGAAGTAACAGTCAAGTTAAAACTGTTCATCCTACGACCCACGGAGTCTGTCCCCACTGTGCTGTAGTGCGACTTCTTTTTCCATGTTGGTCCTGCACTAACCTGGTGAATGGCTGGTCCAGACTCATTGTACTCCCACAGCTGGTTCCTGTATCCAACAGCATCACCGACGCCACTCAGCAACATGGCGGCTTTATAGTGCTCCAGCTTAGCAGAGCTGCTGGGATGAAAGGCACAGAAAGACTGTGGCTGTTCTGTTCAAAATAAAACAGCTGTAACCCCACTAATGTTGTTTTTGACTTTTGTTTACAATAAAATTACAGAATACAGCACATTAATATCTTTTAATTCTTTCTTGAGTTTTACAGGTGAAGCAGACTTCAGGTTTTCTGAACAATTTTCTTCTAAGGATCTTCAGAAGGCTGGCTTGGCCCTACCACTTTGTTGGGGGAAGCGAAGAATGATTTGTAACACACAGGAAAAACACCATACACCTAAGGGAGTGTAGTATGTTCAGAAATGGGTTGAAAATAATTCAAGCTTATTTAGTACATTTTAAAAGGCCTATAACATTTGTCAAATAATTTACTCTACATATATAAAATAAACTCCTGAGCATGATTGTGACCTTCGGAAGGTTGCTGGTTGAATCCCTGGACTGGCATGATCAAATCTGGATGGGACAGATGACAAAGCAGCACTTGGCCCACCCTCAGTGACACTACTGTGGTGCCCTTGAGCAAGCCCCTTAACCCCAGCACCTCTCCAGTGGATCTGCTCAGTGGCCACAGTTTAGCCTGTGGTTTTACTGGGCAGCTTCCAGGTGTGAATGTGTAACTGTGTAAATGAGAACAGGGTGTCCCTGGAAAAGAGAGGCGGCCTCTCGATGACCCTACACCAAATAAAGGTTAATATTTCTTAAGAAAATCCTGTAGCTAATGTGGCTTAGTTCAGCAGTGGTGGATTAAATAAACAGATTGTTTACTTAAATAAAAGTAGCAATACCACAATGTAAAAAATAAGTCCAAAATGTTACCCAAGTACAAAAACATATAAGTTTTTATACTTGGGTAACATTTTGAATATATATATAGTTGTATACTACAACTACTCCTACTATACAAATATACTTAAAAGTAGCAAAAAGTAAAAGCACTCACTATTTCACATTTCACAACAATGTACATCATATTACTGGATTACAATTATTGATACATTGTTGTGTAAAGCACATTTTAGACAAGGTGGAGCAAAGTGCCTTAGGGTATGTGCTGTTAATGTCACTGCAGGGTATTTTGTGAAATTCCCACCAAGGATCAATTAAGTCTTACTATTATACTGTCATTGTTTTATTCATCTGAATATAGTAAAAAAGGTTATGACATAAAAGCAGTTGATTAAAAAAGTGCAGTATTTCCTACTGAAATGTAGTGAAGTCAAAGTATGAACTAGTAGAAAATACAGCTCAAAAGTGTACTTTAGTACAGTAAGTGCATTTCCTCATGTAGTCACCTTCCACCTCTGACTGTTTGTAAATCCTTCTATTCTTACATTAATGTATATTCTCTGTTTCCAGAAATTATGTTTTTGCCCATTTTTGCAGATTTGTAAAGTCAACTTAACACGTTCTGGCCTGTATCAGCACTATTCCCACATCGGTCAAAGATATAAACGAGTAACCTCAAACAAAAAATTGCTCTCTGGTTTGTTATTTAACGTAAAGCAAAATCCTTCCTCCACGCAGTTGCAGTCTCACCGGTCCATTGCTGCACGTCTCCCCGGAAATCAGGCGTCACGAGGCGGTCACACACATAAGTATACCCCCGGGCTGCAGACAGGAGTGCTGCGTGTTGGTTGTAGGTTAGCTCAGATACGCTTGTAGCAAAAGCACCGCTCACTAACTGAATTTATTGCCTCGTACTGGCTATAAAAAGAAGCAACAAGCAAAGTTTAGCTTTCCAGCTCGCAAGATGGAGCCGTAACAAAACACATGGCCGATGATTTCACCAGGAAAATCATTGACGAGCTTCAGGCACAGCGTTGGCACAGCTGTACAGTCATCAGATCCTTTACTAAAGTAAAAGTACAAAAAGCATTAACATCAAAATATAGCCTACTTAGAGTAACAAATGTAAAAGCACTCATTATGCAGAATAGCAAGTTTAACATTTCTGCATATTACAGGATTAAGATTAATGATGCATTACTGTGCACATCACATTTTATGTTGCAGCTGGTAAAGGTGGATTAAACTGAATTACTGCTAGGTATCACCAGTGATCAATACAGTCTTATGATTCTAATGTTGTTTTATTCATCTGATTCTGAAAAGTAACTAGTAACTAAAGTTATCCAATACACACAGTGGCATGAAAAAGTTCAACAGTTGCCTGTAAAATGTAGTGAAGACTATAAAGTAGCAGAAAATGAAAATACTCAAGTAGAAATACCTCAAAATTGTACTTACTGTAAGTGCAGTACTTCAGTAAATGTACTTAGTTATATTACCAATACTTAAGATATATTACCATTGGTATTAATCCATGTGCTATTAGAGAAAACAACAGGTTCTTTGCTATTTTAGTTACTCACAGAAACCTACTTCAAATTCACAGACACATCAGCTCTACAGAAAACACAATGAGAGAGACATACATTTTACAGCAAGCATCCATCCTGCTAACACGTCCTTGAGTGAGACATGGCTGTTTTGTATCTGACTCGGTGCTATCACCTAAAGGTGGAGGGAGGAAATCGAAAAGAAATTCTCCTGTGGGGATCAATGAAAATCAATAAAGCACTACATTGCATTTTGCTCCTAAATCCAGCTTGGTGTGTAATCTGCTCATCAATCTGATGTGCTCTGAAGCTCTTCCCTCCACTGGGTGGCATGGTTTCACTGCAACATATAAAGAGAAGCTTTGAAACAGACTTCATGATTGATGCTGGCAGCTGGTGAATCCTGATGGCAGACAGTGATTCCCCATGGCTGATGCACACAGTCAGCCTGCGCTACCCGGACGATTATCATCAAACGGAGAGTGCAGATTGTAGAGGAAGCTGAGGTATCAGGAGAGAGGTGGCTTGGAGGCCATTTGTCACACTAGTTGTCAGGGGCCATAAAGGCCAATGGTGGGAGAGGCACAGTGGGGAAATAAGAACAAATGGGGCATGTGCAGATATGCCTGGGTGGGCTGTGGTGGTGTGTGTGGTTTCAGACTTTACCACTGTGTCACCATTGTTGTGGCTGAGGGATCTGTGTATTAGGCATTTGGCTACTGTTAGTGTCTGACTGCCACCAAAGTCAAATTCATATTTCAGCCAAATTTGAACCATAAATATGGACAGCCTGACAGCTCCCAGAAGTGAAGCCACCACAAGTCGATCACCGAGAAGGCTGATTTTCCAGTCTTACTGCATCTAAATGGAACACTATGGTCACTAGAAACTGCCTTTGTCATTCTGGATGTACTAGCCTTAAGTTTAACAAAATGACTCACATGAGCAGGTGCCAGTCCATGAGGAATTTAGAAAATAAGCCAAATCCGCATACTTTTAAAAACTTTTAATACTAAAAAGACGATATCTCTGAATGATATGACAATGGTGATAATGACTGGGTTTGTTATAAACTATTTTATAAAGTGACTATTGGCTTTAATTTTTGGTTTGGAATTTCTGGTTTCGGTCCAACTTGAGAGACAATAGTTCAAATGTGAAAGAATTGCTGCATGCATATTAGGGATGTCACCCATGGCTGACAGGCATCAGGACAGTGAGCTGCCATTGTGCTGTGTCAGTAGAATGGTCAACCCTGGACCCAAATTATAAATAAATTAGATTCAAATAATCTGATCAATGATCAGCTACCCATCTCTCAGCAACCTTCGAAATAAGAGGAAGGCTGCTTAGTGGCCGATAAGTAGCAATACAATGGAATCACCTGATTATAATATACAGTAGTAAGTTTGTTTTTACTAAGTTATTTGATGATATAAAAAGGGGTGTGTTTGAGAAGAATTGACAGCTGCGATTGGCGACCTGATAGGACGCTCAACTACTCAGTTGCTACTGCACCACATCTGGTTGCAAAATGCCAAGATGGTGGCCACTGTAGTCACAATATTTTGGCTTCACTTTTGCATAGTGGACAGAAGTGGTGATGCGACATCCATCTTTTAAATGCAGTCAGTGATCTGAAAACGCAGTCTTGATACACATTTTAGATTCAGTGTTACTTAAGCTTTCTGAGGATTTCATTCTCACGTGTCCACTGCAAATAAATGTCCATAAATTCACTTAGAAATGACAGAAAGAAGACACTCTTAAAAACTGTGTAATCTGCTTCAGGCTGAGGATCATCACAGAGCCTATTTAAGTTCTTTTCCATATCAAAGTAATGATTGTTGGCAGTACATCTAATGGTTCATAGCAGACAGAAACTAGTGACAGCAAATTTAGCATAAGCTACTTAATTTTCCAAACTAAAAACAAATATAGGCTAAAATATGGGGCTCATGTTGCAGCCTACAGTGTCAACTTACTGAATCCACACCAACCTACCTCCTGTTTCATGTAAATGTTTAGTTTGTATCTGTTCGTGTAAGTTAAGACTTTTCAAATTTAGGCAACATTATCTAACAGAGTTGCCAATTGCACGTTGTAAATCGCATACAAAATGCTTAATGTGTGTATCTCTCATGCGTCTGTTGTGTGCACAGATCTACCTCACACCAGACACTAATAACTAGCAAAATCACTGACCTTAAAAATTGTTTTCAAGACATAAAATCCTGGATGACTGTGGATTTCCTCCAGCAGTGGGAATAAATCTGAAGTTTTTTGAGGGAGGTTTTCCTTATCCAGTTCAAGGGTCTCAGTATAATGTCCAGACTGCAAAGA